TGGCTTTATTCAAGAAGAAATATCCTTAAATAGATGGATATGATGTTTCTACTGTTAAGAAACTGGGGGCCACTCCATAAAGAGGAATACTGGCTAAACAAAATTCTACTAGTATACAACCTGAAAAACTTCATTCCTCATAAAATACAGATGATCTGTCCCATCAGTCTAAAATCTGGCACAATGAAACAGTCAAGTTGTGTATTCTGCCCAAAATTGCAAAAAATTAAATGTGAAATTGTCAAGTGAAGGAAATTTTTGAAATCTGCCTTGCATTTGTAGTTGTAAAAGTTTATGGCCGTTTTTTTTGCACAGCTCTTTCCTGTTTAAATTACTTGAAAGAGTCAGAAATACACCACAGGCCCTTATTGGTTTACCGAAAATCCACTGGGTATTAAGTTATGAGATTTTTCAAGGTACCCAGTGTTTTGGGGGTTTTGTATTATAATAAGGGCAAATGATGAGAATACCAAATATAGCCCCAATCCGAATACCTTACTGATATTTTACTAGGGAAATTCGGCATTTACTGATATTTTTCAGGTCTGATTTACCCAAAGCTGAAAAATACCAGCATTTTTTTTTGCACACCCCTACTGAGAACCCATACCAGCAAGCAACCTTACTGCTGTGCTTCATGTGTCAAAGCTTCTGAACAGCCTTTGAATGCAGCCCCACATACAGCAGGCACACTGCAGTAGTCCAACCGAGAGGTGATGAGAGCTTGGATAACTGTGGATGCATCATTCCTCTCAAAGAAGGGTTGCAGGAAGCAAACCACAGAAGTTGAGTAAACACCACAAGGAAGACTTGAGGCTCAATCTGTAGCCACAGACCTAGTAGCACTCCCACCCTGAATTAGAATGTCTGCCAGTATCTACTTCACCAAACAGTGAGGAGGCAGTCAGTTGCAATAGTTGTGTAGGTTGAAGGATTTAAACAGAAAGGTGCTCTATAGGAAGAAATGGCCTTTCAGGCAATGTCAATATCAGAAAGCCTTTACTCTTGGCTTGTGGTGCCATTGTGCCACAGAAACATATTTAAAAACCCTTCTAAAATAATTCTACTAGCCAAACATGCATAGCAGAACAATAAAAATGCCACAGGCACACATATAATGAGAAGGGAGATCTAGGAAAGGGCTTGTTCAGCAAATACTAATTTAAGAATTTTAAAGAGTTTTTTAGTTTGTTGTTTCTGTAATGCCTGAAAGAATCCCTTTACAAATACCAGCTCAATACAGGGCTCAAAGAATTTTCCAGGCAGGTTATTTCACAGATACTGCTTTCCCAAAATCTTGCTATATAAACATCTAATGGGTCTATAAAAGGCATAGAATCCCCCCCCCCACAACCACTTTAATGGATATCCAGACAGAAATTCTCCAACTGCAACTTCCTCAGTTTCTTGTTACAATACAGTATTTTCCCAACATTCACAACCCCTACATTGCAGCCATAAAAGGCACACCGTTTTAACTCTAAAGCATCAAAAGTGTAGCATCTGGCTTTGGCCAAAACTCCAAAAGATGAGGTAACCCAAATCACTAGTTATATATGAACTGAACAGCTAGTGAGAGGAGGAAGAGAGGCCCCTTTTGCTGGAGATTGTGGGCCCCAAGTGAACAAAAAGACATAGGATGGGGGCTACAGCAAGAAGGGGGGAATTGGGCAAGGTCACATGATCTCCACCTGCACCAGCAGAAAAGCTGATTTAGAACTGAACCCAATTAATCTCTGCCTGGAAACATCCCTTGAGCCTGGAGCTGAAAGACCCAGGCAAAATGCAAAGTTTAATTTGTAAGCCAGCACAGTATAGAAGATTGAAAAATCTGTTTACTGCTTACATGGCACAGAAGTTGAGGTAAGAAGACTTGCAATGTCTATGCATGGATGAATCCATAAGTACCTCTTAACTCCTCTCTTAAAACGGGAGTATTTCTGACTCTAGAGCCACATTGATCACCGTCGTTATCACAATCTATCTAGAATTCCATCCAAAGCACACAGAAATGAGCTTCATGTTTGTTACTGAAATAAGGGGGGGGGGGGAATGAAGACCTTCACAACAAGGTTACTTGTTTTCAAGTTCCACCAACGTTTTGTTTCATTTGGGGACCATGAACTACTGAGTGAGAGCGATTAAAGGAGAGTGAGTGTTCTCACTGTATGAATCCAAAAAAATATTGAAACAGCAATGCAGAACAAAATGTCTACTACACAAACAATTCTGAAAATTATGCACAAGAATAATGCACAAGAATTTGCTTACAGTACCTTAGGAGGATTAAATGGATATGTTTCTGGAATTTTTATTTCTAGTTGATATCTTCCTCCTGCAAAAACCAGGATACAGGAATTATATTCTTCACCGTTATTATCCTACCAGAACACTCTGTCCTCATAAAAAGCACATCAAGTGGTATTTTAACATTTTCTCCTAGGAAACATAAGACATATCAACTAATTTAATTTCAGATAGGAGTAATCCTAAAATGAAGGATTCTAGACTCTAAGCCTCTGTTTGCAACGGAGGGTTCTCACAGCAGTAACCAGAGATTGTACCAGCACTCTTGCAGAATATTTCATTCTATTACAGCTTCACTGTTTCATCAGGGGGAAACCACCAATATATGACAAGGCATAATCCACCAAGAATTGCACCTACATGGTTTGCTTCAATGACACAGCAGTTCTTGAGAGACTGTATGTGTAAAATGCAACAAACCTATTAAAGCACAGATGCAAAAATAAGTCATGGTTCAAGGATACTGAGCACTCAAATATACCTTTTTAAACAAAAAACAAAAAAAACTGGAATTCTGGAAACAGAAAGCACAGTGTTTCAGACCATAACCAAAGCATCTGGGAAATTACTACTTAATTTTTTTTCAAAGGATCAGTGCATATTCTTTAACACAGAAGACAAATGGTTATGGCAAGATGGGAAGGCAAACTTCCAAAGGAAAAGAACCCAGCCCCAAGCATTAGAATAGTCCTGGGTGTATTCTGTTCAGTAATATCATTACTGCCCCTAGGAAGAAAAAGAGGACCAAATGTTCACTGATGATAATTAGGTGACTGCCAGTGGTGATACAGGCAAAAACCTAGAAGTTAGCAAAGCCTGTTCATTCTGTGTAACAAACCATTTTGCTGCACAACAAGTCTCATCTAGGATTACAGAAAGCAAGGACTGGGCCTCTGTCAATCACAGGTCCCAGGGTACAATTTGAAAGGACGTGGTACAGCTACCTTGCTCAACCCAAGTATGTATGGCTTTGGCCACAGTGGCTGGATGCAAGAGATCCAGCAAATTTTATGTACATCACCTTCAGTTGGATGAGGGAAGAAAGGCAGGACATAAATGTAATAAACAAAATGGCAACTATGAGCCACAAAGGTGAGGGAACAGCAAAGGCACATTTTTAAACGAACCAAGTACAGTAGTCCCACTAGAAGTAATCATCAATACTACTGTGAAGTCTATTGGTAAGAATCCTGCACCCAGTTTTAGATTCCTGTGTGCAAGTGGGCAAATTCCAAGATGGATAAATGCAAAGAACATACTCTCTAGATTGAAAGGGGGGGGGGTTTCATGTGTGTGTGTGTGCGCGCGCACATGCGTGCATGTTTGTGCACCTGGAAGTCATGGAGACCCCTGGTGACTGACCCCTACTGGGGGCCTGGAGGATATTCAGAGACGTGGCTGAATAAAGCCTGCCCCCACCTCCCGACTGCTGGTATTCCAAGGAGGTCTCCCATCCAAGTACTTGCCAGAGTCGACCCTGCTCAGCTTCCAAGATCTGATGACATCAGGTTTGCCTGGGCTATGCAGGTCAGGGCTAGACTGAAAGAGTTTTGTTCAGCTAAGTGGCTGCATAAACATTCTAGAAATATTTTAGATTGGGAAAATGGGTACAGTACAAAATATTGTGTGTCAATCTAGTACATTTCAAAAGGAGTTTCATTTTCCATTTAGTTTCTAGCTGTATTTTAACTTTATGAATGGCCTCTCAGGAGTGAGGAATCTCACAGATTCAAAACCAAATAAAGGAAATCAGATCTCACACCTTTTGGAAATGGAAAGGTATTATAATTTTGAAACCTCCATATTCTGGTGAAGACATTCTCAACTAAAAACAAAATCATAGGGGCAAAGCTGGCTCCTACCAGAATGTCATGAATAGGTGTCTACCAGTAGGAACAGAGCACTCTCTCTGACAGGGATGGCGACCACTGCCCCCAGAACCTGATGCCGCTTCTTAGCTGCATTCCAGTTTTGCAAACAGCAAACTAGAATGAATTGGGCAATACATACAAACCAAATACAATCTTCTTCCTGGATTTTATCTGTATAGTAGGTAGCATTAAGGTAAGAAACTAGAATGCAAGGCTTTCAAAAGAAAAAAAATAGGGGAATCAGAAAATAAGATAAAAACACAGCAACTTTACTGCAAGAAAACAAGTTATATATAATAAATGGAAATAGACTTATCTTGCTGTCTGTAAGGGAGGATTCGATATAACTTACAGTACTGAATAGGTGGTAGTGTCTATTATTTTGAAGATACCATGGATAGCTTTCCATTATGATTTATATAGTACCACAAAGGTACATGATGCCTTGCATCGCAAAGCAAAAGAGAAAGGTTTGAAGAGCAGAAATACCCTTTTGCGTTGTTTACCCATCAATAGGTAACCAGCCAGGGAATTGTGTTGCTACACTGTGTTAAATTGCTCAACACAAGGACTAAAATGTCTAAACTTTCAAGTTGGTCTTTAAAATAATTTCTTTACCTAATGTACTGCCCTCATGAGGTAATGTTTAGAAAGCAGCCTTGCAGAACATTTTTCCAGGGTGCTTATATCATCAATGTAAAACTGTGTATCTTGCTCTCACTTGATTTCTGCATTGATGGTGTTTGTATATGTTGTATCCATCTGCGTTCTAATTGATATATTAGGCACAGAAGTCTTTTCAGGTTCCCCAAAATTCCACGCACACCACAAACACTGCTTGTGTGTGAGAGAGAATTTATATAATAGTTGCTGCCTAGTTTGGGATGTTTCTTTTCAAGTTGACTTGTGCATATATAAAAGCACAAGCCAGTTTGAACCACAACATCCCACAAACCAGGAAGCAACCATTATTCAAACTATGTGAATGGTTAACTGCAAGGCTGTACTAAAACATCTTAGTTCAGTAACACACATCAAAATGAAGCATAATTTACTTGGAGAAATTTTAGTGTTAAAGCAACAAAATTTGAAATGGTCCATGGCATACAAAATATTACTTGCCTTCATATGGTGTGTCCGGAGGTCCTGCTATTTCTCCTCTTAGTTCTGTAAAATTTTCATCTACAAGATCTACTTTAATCTGATTTTTGCTCGTCTTTAAAATAAAAACAGAAAAATTACAGTCAGATGCTAATATGTACTTGAACCTCTTTCCCCCCAAACTCAAAGAAGGCATTATAGCCAATTGCTACAACAACCAGTATATAGATTTACATAACAAGCTACATCACTTAATATGTAAAGATTCTGAAAATGAATTTATGCTGCCATTCAAGTAAACTCAGGAGAAGACACCTTGAGAATATCCATCTACAGACATATTTTTAATGCATTTGGGCACCAAACCCACTCATTGAGTTTAAATCTCAATGAGTTTGAAGTAATCTGTATGCAGGACTTCAGTCCTGATTTTTACACTGACTACTTAAGATTACACACATACTTCCATTATATCAGAAACACAAAAACAGACACTAACAAGGGTCCAATTAAAACTGGATGGTACATTTTCATTCAGAATAATAATTAACTTCAAAGCAATATATGAAACTTCTAAACTTGTACACAATATTATTTTAAACCTCCATTCTAGACTAGTGCTTCTTTATTTAAATAACAAATTCCCCACCATAACTTAGTAGTGAAACATCTATGTAATAATGGCAGGTACTACAGTATTGCTTTCTAACTATGCCCATGGTTACTTGTCAAAAAGAAAAAAGACAAGGTTCAGCCACATCCTCTCTCATCTGACGTGCAGAGTTTCTATCTGAGTTCATGTATCACTTTCTTTTGGGGAGCAGATGAGCAAAGAAGAGAGCAAGGAAACAATAAAGAAAATAAGGTAATGCACCTACGGCAACTAACATGTTGATAAAATGATGAGATCAAACACATACTTGTGTTTGAAGTATCCAGGTCTCCTATATAATGGGGCAATCACATGTAATAGAAAGTTACTTTAGCAGTCTTTCCAAGCAAGCTGGCACTCTCAGGACTGAAAGAATAACCACAAGCTGTCACAAGAACCTTGGACCCAATATATTCTACTTGTACTAACAGGGCTTTGGGAAAACTTGTAAGTAGGAGCAAAAAATATATGATCAGCGGTGGATGTTGAAGCACTGCACTAGCAGGAACTATCAGCAGTCACTGGAGAATAACTGGGGTGGGAGGAGAAAAATACTGTCCTTATGGGTACCAGGAGTCACAGCCAGCACCATGCAAGCTCCAGTTTAGGCACCGGCTGTTAACATCACCTGTAAAGAACCATCCACTTGCATGGCACTGGGTCTCTCTTGCTTCCCAACAATTATTGACTAGGACAGCCCTCGACTCCTGAATGGCATGTGGTCATCACCAGAGGAACCGCCTCACCATCTACTTCTGCATGCAGTATCAGTACAGCCCTAGGTGTACAGTAGCATTTCCCTGTGCCTCCTTCCTATCATATCATGTTGTCTATCCTAGCTATTTTCTTTTGGAACAAGTTGTACTGAACTAGAGGGACTTAACTTTGGATGGTGGGTTCTTAAGTTTCTCTGGCAGTCTCTACACTGTTGCAGTGCTGCATCTTCCTACACCGTGATAACATGAGAAGGCCCAGACCATGCAAGGGGAGCCCAAGCTATGGCCTTTTCCCCATGCCACTCTTTGCTTTCCAGAAAATGGCTTAACCGTGTAGAAAAATAAATAATCCTTTGGCACTGTGTGTAGTATAGCCAAGAGATCCTAAGATTGTCTTGCAGCCTAACATTCTTTTTTTTTTTTTAAGTAGCGAGCTATAAGTGCAGGCTGTGGAAGGTCAGTAGTTCAGCAGTTCGAGACCCGGGTGCTGCATGATGGAGTGAGCTCCCATCTCTAGTTCCAGCTCCTGCCAACCTAGCAGTTCGAAAGCAAGAAATTGCAAGTAGATAAATAGGTACCACTTCGGTGGGAAGGTAACAGCGTTCCGTGTGCCTTGGTGTTTAGTCATGCCGGCCACATGACCACGGAAATGTCTTCAGACAGCGCTGGCTCTTTAACTTTGAAACGGAGAAGAGCACCGCAACCCTAGAGTCGGATTCGACTGGCTTTCGAGCAAGGGAACCTTTACCTTTTATACTTTTTTTTTTTGGGCTGAGAGAGCTCTGAAAGAGTTGTGACTGACCCATGGTCACCCAGCTGGCTTCATGTGGAGGAGTGTGGAATGGAACACAGTTCTCCAGATTAGAGTCCGTCGCTCTTCACCACTACACCAAGCTGGCTCTCTAACAGTGTAGAGAGAAACTGCGACACGAGCTCTTTCCACATGGTCCAGGGGTTCTAATTCTACCTCTCACGCAACTACAGAAACATAAAAAACCAAGCCTGAGTAAAAAGGCCCAGGTCTGGACAGTGCATTAACAAAACAGAGACCACCAGGAGGGATGTAGTCCATATCCAAACTCTAGCTCTAAGTCTTATTCATTCATTTTATCAGACTTGTATCCCGCCCTCCCCGCAAGCCAAAAGCAGCAAAGCAAAACCCATAGGATTTAAGTCTCCTTGTAAGAAAAGCACATGAAAGGGACTTAGAGGCAGTTTACACATCTTTCTACTTACATTAAACTGTGTGTGTGACGTACCATAAAGTCATTTCCAACTTATAGCAACCCTATAAATCAAGGACCTCCAAAATGTCCTATGAACAGCATTACTCAGCTCTTGCAAACTGAGGGCTATGCCTTCCTTTACAGAGACAATCCATCTCATGTCGGGTCTTCATCTTTTCCTAGTATTTCTTAAAATATCAATTCTGGTACACTCACAGGCATACTTCCTTTTTTTTCTCCCAGTAGAAACCCAAAGTGGCTTGCAACAGTATTCCTTTCTCCATTTTATCTCACAACAACCCTGTGAGGTAGGTTGGCTGAGAGTGGATGTTGAAGTACTGCACTAGCCCAAGGTTATTTAGCAAAGCTTCCTTGGCAGAGTGGGGATTTGGTCTCCCAGATTTTACTCCAGCACTCTAACCACTTTACCACACTGGCTCTAATTTCCCCCCCTCTAGCTTAACGCATTATCTTAATTCATAAGCAGACCCAAAATTTAAACTTTTGCTGCTTTCATAATGAAATTTAATGAGGGTCGTCCAGCCATTATAGAATGTATACACCTGAGCGCTTGGGGACATGTTGCTGTCTTGCCTCACACCCTGTCGGCTAGCATCTTTCTTGCCCACTCATTTTGACGAGGTGTCTGCCTAACTCAGCAAGCTTGTTTTTCAAGACATGCCAATCAAGTCTGACTTCCTTTAGACCAACTAGATGAGCTCATACCTATCTTATAAAGCAGTGGTGGTGCAAACAAGGGCCCAAGATGAGGGAACTCCTTAGACAATCTGATCTCCACCTTCGAGCAGAAATACATATTGTGCTTTTGCTTCATACCCCATCGCCTCAGACATTTTACAGTCCTTAAAGATTTTTGCTCGAGTACGCGCTCCCTCAAGCATCTCCTTCTATGGAAAATTCTGTCCTTCCGGTACACTCAGACTTTCCTACTCCTGTCATAGCTCAGTTTCATGGAAAGTTAAATCTATCTTAAAATTTTAGTTGTATGCATCGTTCCAAGTGAGATATGCTTTTACAAAAGAGCTGACATTCTCAATGAATTCTCGATGACATTCACTGAACAGACAAAGAGCACAGGGAAGTTCCAGGATCAGGTAACAGATATAGAAATATTAGAGACAGTGATTATTACTAAATGGTGCCAGCTACATTATAGAACTTGTGTGCTCATAAGCAGGTTGGGGGGAGGGGGTTGGGTTTTTTTACATTGTGTGCGTGTGTGTGTGTGTCCCCGTGCCTGGAAGTCATGGCGACCTCTGGAAACTCCTGGGGCATGGAGGACCTTCAGAGAAGTGGCTTGATAGCCTGCCTCTACCTCCCGACCCTTGTATTCTCTGGAGGCCTCCCATCCAAATGCTTGCCAGGGTCAGCCCTGCTTAGCTTCTGAGATTTGACGAGGTCAGGCTTCCCGGGGCTATCCAGGTCAGGGCAACAGCTGATATTCTCAAAAGGCTCATATGATGATGAATTTACACAGGACTCATGCTGAGAGCTCCAGATCCGTTAGTGAAGTTAACTCTTCTCACTTGATGGTACCCGCTAGCACAGATACACATTTGTGATGCCAGTCAGGACCCATCTGCAATACTTTTTTTACTTTGACACTAACGACTGTAAATTGACTGTATATCTGGACCATATACACTCACAATCACAAACTGAATGTTGAATGGACACTGAAGATTACAATACAGAGCTACAAAGCTCCTGGTTGCTGTTAGTCAGATTATTCTTCAACAGATCACGCACCATGGCAGTTGGTTCACTTGCTTCACATGTTTGGTACCATCCATGAGTACCATTTTATAGTCCTCCCCCAGTCACACTTTGCCATACCTCAACCAGTGTTCCCTCTAAGCTGAGTTAGTGTGAGCTAGCTCACAGTTTTTTAGCCTCCAGCTCACATATTTTTGTCTTAGCTCATGAAGGAGGGCTCCAGAGTAACCTAATTTATGCAGTAGCCAAGTTGCTCACTCACCACTTTGATGCCAGTCGCTCACAAAGTGGAATTTTTGCTCACAAGACTCCACGGCTTAGAGGGAACATTGACCTCAACCCAGGGGCAGATTAACCATTAAGCCGACGAAACACGTGCTTAGGGCACCAGGGCCAAAGGGGGCACCACAAAGTTGGGAAAAGGGTGAAAAGCTTTGTTTGTACAGTATATCATGCTATCATATGAATAAATTTTTGTATTACTGCAACCTGCATTGTATATCTGGTCAGACAGGTCAACAGCTAAAATGGACTGGGTCAGTGTGGAAAGGAGGGGGGCACCAAGATTGGTCAGTGCTTAGGGCACCAGTGAGCCTTAATCTGCCCCTGCCTCAACTGATTCTTCCTTTGTCACAGAGTTGCCACCATCCTCTCAGTCGCATCACACCGTCTTTTTTCCTGAGTTGTGGGGTTTTTTTTCAACCACACAACCACTCCTGCCATGCAGCATCTTAATTCACTCCTACTTCCTTCTTACAGCATGGTACAGTCTGGATATAGTAAA